GGTTTTTATTTTTCACTTTTATTTTAATCACTCATTATTTTTTTTATTATTTTTTATTATTTTTTATTATTTCGATTTACATTTGACCTTGAGTCTCCTCTTCACAATGCATATACATCATATACTCCTATATGCATGCATACATACTCGTACAATGATGAATGCTCCCGCTGATAACTCGCTGCTTCTTCGCCGTGCAGCTGCCATAAATCATTTAATTTTATTTGTTGAAAAAATGTTATTTTTAATGTTGTCAATCATTACTTCTATGCACTTTTTTATAATAAACAAATCTCTTCGACAACCTCAACAGCAACAGCAACAGCAACAACAAACGACCTCCTGCGGCTTTTCTATTATTTGGTTGAACCGTCCATGCAGTGGTATGTATGTGTGTTTGTGTGTGTTCATGACCACGCTGCTGAAAACGTCATCGCATCTATCACAGCGGCGCACATTATCACAAAGGCACACCCTGTTCGAGGGTATAAAATTGCAGACACTCAAAATGCCAAATCTATCCTTACATCTTCGCATAAACCTTGCACAATGTGTGGGCCATCTCTCATCACTGCAATTATTTTTGGCCATATTTCGACAACGCCAGCAGTTGGGACTTTTGGCAAATAAAAAATATTAATTTTAATATAAATTAAAAGCTATTAAACATTGCTCAAGTGGAAGAATAAATAAAATTAATGGATTTCTGTTTTTTATAAGCGAAAAAGAAGAGCTGTCGCGGTCAAGAAGATCACACAAAATTTATGGTAATTCATTTTAGGATTTAATCTATTCGTAAAGATCCACATATGTCGAAAAGTTACAATCTGTTTGAGATTTTTATGCAGCAACACTAAAAAAAGCTCTGGGGAAAAAGGCAATTTTCAGTATCCAAAATGCTCGAAAAAACTCGAAAACTTTCGAGCACTTTCGAAGCTGAAGTTGTCACATCATATGATTGCTTGTTCTTCCTTTAATTTCAGAAAATTACACGAACAAAATACATTGAACGATTTTGGTTTTCGACTTTTCAAAGCAGAAACAAAGTACATATGCTTTTCGTTTATGCATTCTTGCTATTACCGTATGTGAATTTGCCTTGGAACAAGCGTGCGAGTACTCGTTGCTCAAATGCTGGAGCAGCTCGAAAATGTTCCAACCAATTCTTGAACCCTAGTACAAACCCGGCAATTAACAATCAATATGCGTGTCAACCGGCATAATGATCGGATTTCCAGAAAGATTCTACTTCATGTTTTACGCGATTATAGCCGAATCAGCAATAGCGCGCCATTCGATTCTTCTCTTCGCTATTTGGCGCCAACTGCAACTATCAAGTACAGCTAGATCCTTATCCACATCGTCTTTCCAATGAAGTGGAGGTCCTCCCTTCCTTTGATTCCACCGGCTGCAGCATGGAAAACTTTCAAAACTGAATTATTCTCATCCGTTCGGATCAATGTTCTAGCCAGCGCCTCGCTCTTTCTACATTCGCTGAACTACTTCATAGTCCTCGTACCACTCGTACAACTCCTCATTCTATTGTCTGTGGTATCGCCGTAGTCAAGAAGGCAGAACCAGCGGCGTTATTGTTCAGGCCTTAGATATCAATATCTGGCAACTCCCACATGAATAGCTGTGAAAAACTTTTTCACTTCTACATATAATCCCAACGAATTGGTCCTCGAAGTATTCCGAAAAGTGCAAACCAAAATATAGGAATCATGCATGAATGAGCGACTTATCCTATCTGCAACAAACTAAGAAGTCTACGACATCAACCACACAATTCAGTTCAACATTGAAAGCAAATCCGTCACATATAAGTCAGTAGTCAGCGTTGTGGAAGCAGAAAAAGAAATTTTCAATTCTTTAGACTTACTGGGGGTCCCACCCCACGTACTAAATCTGAAAATCGGTGCGCCCATTATTGTGCTACGTAATAACCAAACTTGGTGCACAGTCGCACTGCTACATTTAAAGGATCTTTGAGACAACTAAAGCATATACGGGTATACGACCTTTTAAACTTAAAGTTTTGGCTCATAAAATAGTGTTCTGTACACTGTAACACTTTTCAGATATGTGGATTGGTCGAAACTCCCTCAAAAAAGATTTTTGAAGTTAGGTTTTCGACAAGTGTTACTTGATTTAAACTCAGTTCGGTTTGCCATTTCATAATGAACAGATTCACTTTAGATTTAATCGCGCAGGAGAGTAGTTAATTCGAACAGCTTTGGATCGGTTTTGCGTCACCTTTACTCAGAGATGCCGCACAGAACGCACATCAGACGCTATTGCTGCTGCGGAGCAGAGTATCGAATAAGACTCGAATCCGTCATCGCGCGCAACAATTGGAAAGTATCTTGGTTTGACACGCCGTTACATACTCAAAGCGAGCAGAGGGAATCATTGGTCCATATTTCTTCAAAAATGAAGGTGATTATAATACCACAGTCAAAGGAAAACAATATAGAGCCGTGAATAATAGCTTTTTTTTGACTGAATTTAGAGGATGATGATGGGAACGACCTTTGGGTTCAATATAGTTCAATCAAAAACTTGAAGGAAACTTTTAGCGAGTGAATTATCTCGCGTCGTGGGCATGTGTCGCGACCTCCAAGATCGTGCGGTTTAATATCGCTTCGCTTGTTTGCGATGTTAACATGTACAAAATTCTACACACGTACATATACGATGTGTGTTCAAAAAATATCGCGAATTTTGTGTTTTTTCAAAAATTATTTATTTATTCATGAATATCTATTTTGTTCCCTTCAAAGTAATCCCCATGAGATATTATACGTTTGTACCAACGGTTTTTTCCTTCTCCTTCGATGCCGTCTTTATCTCGTCAATCGTAGCGTAACGTCGTCCTTTCATGGGCCTCTTCAGTTTAGGGAACAAGAAAAAGTCACAGGGGGCCAGATCTGGGGAATACGGTGGCTGCGGCATCTTTAGTTTGTTGTTTTTGGTCAAAAAGTCGCGCACAAGCAACGATGTGTGAGCAGGGGCGTTATCGTGGTGTCAAATCCAAATTTTTGTTCTTTCACAAATCCGGGCGTTTCTGGCGGTTTGCTTTCTGCAAGTTGCGTTTAACTTGCAGGTAATATTCCTTATTGACCGTTCTACCCTGTGGCAAGAACTCATGATGCACCACGCCCCTGCAATTAATTTTTTCGTCTGTTGTTGAAGTGCTCGGGCGTCTGGCACGCTCTTAGTCGTTCACATCTTCTCGGCCTTCTGAGAACATTTTGTACCATCGATAAACGTTGCTTCGGTCGAAGGTAGCTTCTCCGTATGCCACAGTCAACATTCGGAATGCATCCGCGCACTTAATTTCGTTTTTTACACAAAATTTGATGCAGGTTCTTTGATCCATGTGATCCAGCTGTCAACAATTAAGTGAACATTCAAAATGGCCGACCTTGTCGGCATAAGTGACAGACATGAGTACCAACATAACGCCGCAAAAAAATCGAAATTCGATTATACGTAACCAGCGAAAATTCAAAATTCGCGATACTTTTTGAACACACGTATAGAAATAAGCATTGACACCGAAAATCTTCGTAGTCGGAGGACTTTATCGTTTAACCCCCAGTTTATTTAGTTATTTATAAGTTTGATGTGGTCATGAGAGTTAGTTTGAAGACTTTGGCATGGCCTAGTTTTCCTTTTCGTTCTGGACCATTTTAATATTTGTATGAAAAGATTATAACAAATTTAATTTAGCGAAAAATGAAAGATAAAAATTAAACCAAGGCCCCAAATGAGTTTCATATAGATTTTAAGGCTGATTGATTTCTATTTGAATACTGAAAAAATAAGTTTAGTTATCATTAAAAATAATGAATTGCAGTTTATAAGTGAACTCTGAAAAATTCCGTTAATACTAATTAATGAATTAGATTTAAAAACGGAAGCGAACGTAGCAGTTGTGTATTTTCTGCGCACAAAAAAAAAAATAAATAAACCATTAAAAAATCTATAATCTGTGTATAAAATTATTTATTTACATTTAATATACAAACTAACAGTTATTTTAATAATTTTTTCCATCGAAAATAAGTAAAGATTTAACATATTTATTGAAATTAATGTGCATCAATCAAACTATAAGTAAACAAAAAAGATTCGCAAACGCGATTGAAAAATAGTTCAAAATAACGCAAATCACTTCCGTTATGCCAATGCCTTACTTTCAGATTAGAGAATGCCAAATTCTTCTGGCGACTTTGATACGAATTCGCATTCCGCAGTGATTGGTGTAGAATACTTTACAACTCTTTTGCTTGCTGCTTGAAAATTTCTAGATTTATAGCATGCCTACTGTGCGAGTATTCACCAGCAGCAGCAGCAGCAGCAACAACAAGTACCTTATGCTAACGTCACATTGACTTGAACTAAGCTATAATAGGTTACCTATACCTGTTCCATGTACCACATGTGTCCCACAACCCAAAACTATTTAAATATTGAAAAGTATATGAAGTGACTTTACAGCACCACCAATACATACATACATACAAATAGTTTAATGTACATGTAGGCATGAATATGTACGTGTATGTATGTATGTAAAAACAAACGAAATGTGTCAGTTTAATGAACAAGCTCTGCAACTACGAGTACTTAACTTCAAATCAAAATTCACCAGCACCGCAGCAACAACGTTGACACTTAGCTATATATACATACATGTATAAATTAGTATATATATAAATAAGCTTACACTTGTGTACGTACGGGAATATGCATAAAAGCACATAAATACATAGAAACTTAGCAAAGCGCTTGTCTAGCCCATTAATAGTGCTGGCGTGAGTCGACTGCGCCTTCAGCACTGCCATCATCAGCACTCAGACCAACAGCAATACCAAAACCACCACCAACATACTCACAGTCAGAGCCGCAGTCAGCAATCGGTCGGTCAGAGCTCATGTTAAATCCACAGTTAAAGTCATAGGCAACCGTCAGCCATCGTCAGCCACCGTCAACTAGCGTCACCGTCACCGTCACCGTCACCAAAACACGTTGTCCGTCGCTTTTTACCACCATCACCAACGTCAGAGCAACGGGCCAAGCCAATTCGAAAATTGTTTTCTTGAGTCTAGCGAATTTGAAATGCCAAACAGTCGTTGTTAAGAAGTGATTGTGGCCTCACACGCTCAACTCCAGCTCAGCTCAGCTCAGCGCTTAAGTACGGTGGCGAAATCCACAAAAAGAAAGAAAGCAAGAAGTAAACTAATCAAGCCAGTCAGCAAATTAAACGCCTGTAAACGCTCGTAATATTAAACGAAAAAAGATTTAACTCTTGCAAAAGCCATAATTTTTGGCATAAAAAATTAAGATAAAAAATAATAATAATTCAACTGCAGACATTTTGTGTAATTCCGCGTTTTTTGTCTCCTTAAAATTGTAGATTTAACGCTAAATTTTTATTACCGTTAAAAGACAGCAGAAAAAGATATAAAATGAAATACTTCAACATGTGAGTGATCTTTTTTTTAACTTATACATCAATATTATATTATTAGTAATTTTTTCCACTTTTTTTTGATATTTTTCCAAGTTACTGAATACATTTCTGTTGCAAAGGATTTTTTTTTTCAAAAGACTTTTTGCTGCATATTAATGCAGTATATTGTAAGCGCAGTGCAGTGAACTTGCATTAATGTGGAAATCCTAAATCGCTGGAATATATACCAACATATACATATATATATATATACATATATATATAATCATACATATGTACAATCGAAAATAGAATAATAATAAGGTGAAGTTGTGCAAAAGCCAAACTGTCGGAAATGCAAACACGCCAAAGTATTTGGGTTGGACTGCACACGAGTTCGTGTCTTAAGTCTTTTGATATTTATTTTTCCTTCGCACACACACACAGCACCGTGCGATGTGGCTGGTATGGCAATTTTGTTTGCATATGTGTTAGTGTTAGGTGTGCATTTGCGTTAATTACGGGTTGAAGAGGACCAATGTGTTGGGAAATCTAATGAGTTGTCGTAAATAATTGATTTAGAGTTGATGAGTCCACGGATGGGCGTAGTATCTAACACAGAAGGAAAATTATAAAAAGAGAGATAATTGAAAAGAAAAATAAGAATAATAATGAGTAGTAGTTAAATCAATGAATAAAAAAGAAGATAAATAAAATGAATATAGAAATAATTTAAAAGTGGGATTAAAGCACCAACAAAAGAAAAAAACGTAAAAAAATAGAATCATTAAAGCTAGAAGTCTCTTTTAACTTTACAAAAGCAAAAGTAGTTGAATTGAATTTCCAAAAAAAATTATGCACTAACACCAACTAATGGAAAAAATAGCGTATTAGCAACACTTGATATAGTTGATTTCGAAGCCGTACTTCTATAGAGAGCATCTCGATGTCTTCCAAAAAAAAAGCAGGCTGCGTTCACATGGATGTTGAAATGATTTTCGCTCAAGCTTTTCCTTCTAGACATTTTTCCAGCAAATGGAGCTACACACGGTTTCAAACCACCTCCGAGCGGCTGAGGATTTTTAAGAGGAATAATGCCGATAAAATAAAAACAGCATTTTTACTCATGACCCTCTGTCACGTTTGCTGAGAAGTTAGTTCTATCTACACAGAACCCTGATGATGCATGCTTACAAACGAAGCAGAAGTGTCCAAGAAAACGATAACGAGCCACACTGAAAGCTTTGTAGTGGTAGAGGTAATGCTCCACCGATTCATCCTCAGCTGTACCGCTGCAACTGCGGCAAAAACTGTTCGAGAAGCTGCACATACTTCTACCATGAGTCCCCATAAAACAGCGTCCGGTTATTACGCCGGTTGTCATGCTTGAAGTTGTGTTTTGCTGAAAATGGTTTTTAGGCGCTTCTTGTCCACTCGTAGCTTGAATCAATGCTAATATTTTCTGACTCGATTTTTCGTCACGAGCCCTTACGTAAGAAAAAAACGTACAAGAATATGAGCTCAAACGGGCACTGGATTTTTTGCACTAAACGCTACTTAACCAGTGAGTTACTGTAGAACCTTCTGTGCTTGTGTTCGACCTTATCTAGAACGCGTTTCAGACACCTAGATGTCTTCCCTGTTCAGAGGCCGATAGGAAATAGCAAAGTAGTGATGTTTTATGTCATGACTACTTCACTTCCTGGAGTTAAAAAAAAAATTGGCAGCTGGTACTACAAAAGACCAACAGGTCTGTGTACGGCATATTAGACGTAGTCAGTACAACTTTACTTAACCCAAATGGCCCGTGATATAGCAATCAACAACTATAGCTGAAAACACCGGCTTACTCTACTCTAAATGAAGATTTCTTTAGTGCAGACCTTGAAATGGACTTTGAAATGGACTAAACTTGATTGGGATATTGGGAAAGACTCTCTATTAATTTACTTTTTTTAAGATCAATTTTCTGGTTAGCGAGCTGCTTATAGTATTTTATAGCAGATCAATGACACTGTTTTTCTCAAATACAATAAACAAGGAGTAGCAGCACTCGTTATGGCCAAGAATTTAGTTTTATTATAAGGATCAGGGTTTGCCATTCAGTTGTATAAATAATTTCGGGGAAGTGGCCGCCGCAGCTGTCTCCAACGCTTAAGGCGTTTCGTCAGCAATAACGCGCCGAATATTCTTTTCCAAGGCGTTAACCGCCTTGGGCTTACCTGCGCAGTCAAGCGAGTTAACATAATACCCCAAAACACGATCTTGAGAGCCACACCACAGGCCCACGATGCAAAAGAATGCGCTCAGCAAAAGTTTCCTTCAAATAAATCTATTGTTTAGTTGGCTGTATAATATCTGTCCTCCCCCAATTCAGTCCCAAAAAGTCATTAATCATAGCCTTATAGCATTCCTAATTGACAGTAACATTATGGCCGGCTTCATTACTATGGAATAAGTGGACCAATGATTCCCTCCGCATATAAAACACACCAAATAGTGGCTTTTAGAAGGATGGTTGCGGAAATTTCGTTTAATAGTGTACCCAGCCATTCAAAAGTGAGGTTTTTCGCTGAACAAAATAAATTAAACGATCCATGGTTGCTCGAATTATGTTATTGAGTTGCATATTTTAACCAAAAAAATTTAGTTTGTTTTACCAATAAATTTCAGCAAATATATAAACACATTTTTCAAGAAAATCTAAAATTAGCTGCATCGTGCCCAGCAATAACACGAAAACACTCGCCCAAAATCTATATGCATTATTATATAATCAACCAACTTGGCAAAGAGATTATCACAGTATAAACTTGTTATTAATTACATTTATTTATTTATTTATTTTTTTTCATTTACTCGTTTCCCATGAGAAATCAAGATAGCAATTTTTATGAAGAAAAAACCCCAAAACAGAAATCAAAATTTAAAAAAAAAAACAAAAAAAAAAAACAAAAAGGCAAAAAAGACATGCAACGACAACGTTGGCACTAAAAGAAGATTTGTCTATTTGAACTTTACTATTCATTTTAAATTAACATTAATGGCTAAAATGGCAAAGTGCAAAACTGGTTGCGGCAGTTGATCAGAAATAAAATGAAAAAAATATAAAAAAATTTTAAATAAATAAAATCAGCAAAAAAATTGAAAATTGAAAAGGTAAATAAAATTGTTTTTATTTTCATTTTATTTTTTTCTTTGAAGTTTCCAAATGCGAAAAATACAATGTACTAAGTACAAGAAATAAGTAGAAAAACAGCAAGAAAAATTTATTATTTTTCTTTGCTGTAAAAAGCGGTTGTAAAGGTAAAGTGTTGGAGGTGTAGATGAGCGGTTGCAGCTGCTCGAAAGCTAGAAGTACACAAAGTTCCAATGAATTTTTGACGAACATTTACTAAAATGCGAGAAGTTAAGTATACGCACATATATACATATATATGTAAGTGAATAGATATTGGTGGTAAAAGTTTATTCATTAAAAACGAAGTAGAAATTACATCACTCAAAGTATTGCCCATCGGAAGGAAGACCTCTGTCCTCGATCCAATCATTGAGTCATTCGTCGATTCCTCCGAAAAAAATCGCACTGCTGGCCACGCAAGTCATTTTATATCCATCGAGAAAACCAGTGGTCAGTAGGGGCCAGGTCTGGAAAGTACGGAGAGTGATGTAAAGCTTCCCGTTTCGGTATTTCTAGTCACATGGGATGGAATATTGTCATTGTTTCTAATCGTTTTCAAACTATGCACGGTTCAAGCGCATTAGGTGTAGTTGATAACGTTTCGCAGCAATGATTTCGCCTCATTTTAGCAGCTTAGAGCACACCACACCCCTCTGATTCCATCATATGTTTTTCTTAAGCATCGATGTAGACGACGATGATGCAAAATTACTAGGCTGGGCATAGTACTTTTCCTTTTTTGTACTATCATAATATATTCATTTTATACTGAACAACTTTGGAACGGCTGATGTTTTTTTATGAGGAGTCTTTATATCATTTCAGAAATACACTCGGCAGCTTAAACATATCCTGCTGAGGGGCAACCTAAATTAGAAACATTAACAGACTTGACCCGTTGAAAAAATCTCTTTCCCTGTTGTATTTCTTAAAAAAAAAAAAAAAAACAATATACTCGTACATACTTCTTATAAAGAAAGGGCATGTTCAAAGTATAGCAGTCCTGACAGACTACTGTCTGATAGGAGGACATGCAGAGAAACTAGGGATAATGATGAGGAGGAGGAAGCGATTCTTTGCTACGGTCCAACTTTGAGCAGTGCTAGGTTTCGGAATATTGTAATGCTTATGTATCTAAAGAGGTTCATTAGGGTTTCGAAATGTTTGAATAGCGAAGCCTCATTCAGGCCTAAGTGTAAGACCTAACCTAGGAAAGTTGTGAAGTTCGATCCCTGTCTGATGAAGAGATGTGGTGATCTCCATTTTTCTTTGTTGTATAACAAATATTCAATTCATACAAACCACAAGGCCTCGTAGTTTACTTAATAAAAATTAATATATAGCATGGCCGCAGAAACAAATTATAAAATTTTATAAATTTATGGGAATTTCATAGTTTTTTCGTTTCACACAGAAAAATTTGCAAAAGTATTTCCTAACAAACAATATTTCAAACGATTTCAAAAATTTGATTTTTTACAATAATAAAAACATAAGCATAAATTAAATTAAACTGCAAAGGTCTTCGGTACTCTTTTTGTTTCATTTTTACAATATTTAAATTGTTGTCTTATTTTCCTTTACTGCCTTTATTCGGAGTCAAGATATATCAGTTGGATATTTAAATAAATTTTGATTTTTTGCAATTTTCGGAATGAATATTTTTTATGCATATGAATTTGGCATTGATATCACTAAATTTTCAACTAATTACAAAAAAAAGTGAAAAAGATATGTATTTTTTTATGCATTTTTTTTTTTTGAGCAGGGAGTAAAAACCTTTCTTTGACTCACTCTATTGCCCCCTCCGCACTGGTGCCTATATGAATTTTTCATACCAACAGCCATCACC